CGATTGCAGAACCGAGGCCGGGGAGCAGAATCCGCGGCGAGTTCGGGTTTGGAATTGAGGAATTGGAAGAGGACGAGGACGAGGACGAGAGGCAGGGGGGGTTTATTGAAGCGGATGTGTCGTACGGGCTGAGAATTGATCGCCAGAGGATTATCAGGGTGAGAACCAGAAGTCTTGACGCGAAGGCGAACCAGAGAAGGAGGCGCGTGTGGTGGCGCGTTGTCATGGTGCTGGATTTGAGAGCCATTTTTGGTGGAAATACGAAGGGTTTCTAGTCAAGGTACGAGTCATCGAAATATCAGTGCAGCTACAACTCTCACATGAATAGGTACAAGACTAACAAGCATATGTACAAGCTCTTTGCTTAAAAGTATCTCTCTCCCTTCCAATATGTTAGTAGGACAAACAGAACAATAATGTGATATGAGTAACAAAGGCTTGGAAAGGTTTCCTTGTGCACAAAATAGATCGATAATCAATGCTGTTCCTCGGATCCTTATCGATTATGGAACAAATAATAGATACAAATTTCAAGACAACTTGTACACTATAGCATAAAGTAGTGAATAAAGTCGAGTCTTAATTATAATTGTCAAACTCATCGACACCGACCAACCATCACTCTATATTCCACCAAGCCACAAAATTTTAACTATTCCACTGTAGGTTCACAATGACACTTTATTTTGTTCAGATAAGAACTAGTTCAAGTCTTCTCTGATGTGTCCATCACGAAACTCCCAAAGCAAACCAAAAACACACTTCACATATATATTTTGGCACATGAAAGGCTACTTCCTGCCTGGCCTTGTACTTTCTGTCATTTGGTTACGCAAATCCTGGAACCACTACTAGAAAAATGCCAAATTGGTGACAAATCTATTAATAATGATACTGATAATTCTATTGGTAACTTTGTTACAATATTATAGAATAATATAAATTGATCTTTTACAGCAAAGAAAAATAGATTGAAACTGCAGAAATATGGAACTTGAATTGGAATTCAGGTGTTGAAAAAATAGTGGAAGAATGGTGAAAAACGGCCTTAGTCATAACCTTAGCCCCCATGAATGGTGAGTAAATTTGTCAATTAACTCAATATTGTAATGGCAATAAACATTGGAGTTTCAATAGTCTTGAAAATCAAAAAGTTAGTTGAAGAAAGCAAAAAAATTGCAAAATATGGACCCTCCTTAGGGACTAATTTTTGCTCCGTTCGATCTGACATTCGTGTACAAAGGTCGTGCCCGCATACAAGTTCAAGGCTCGATGTACAATTTTGGTCCTTGATTTGCACTCCCTGTGCGGGCACGTGGAGAGAAAGTCTACACATGATTACACCCTTTTAAATTGTATTCGTATATAAAATGGTCATTGCTTTCATCAACTTCCTATGTGGGATTTACTTCAATATAATTTTCCCTCTAACATAAATCATTTTTCAATGGTCCACTTTGAACTCTAATTTCTCATTCACCCATTTATTACTTTTGGCAAATAAATATATAATTTCTATCTTCTCACGGAATTTAAACTTAAAATTGTGTCAAAAGTCAGTTCTAAAGACCCATTTTCCAACATACTTTACTATAATTCAACCCACGTCAAATAAAATTTAAGACTATGACAAATATTCGATCATTACTAAAGTTGTTGATGGTATAATGCTATCTTCATCTATATATTTATCGATTGATAGTTGAGAAATCGTTTTAGAAAGTAATGGGGTTGCTGGAGAGATAGGAAACTCATCCTCGTAACGTTCTAACACACACGAGTGGCCGAGCCCCAAGTTCGTTATTACTTGATAATAATATTGCCTCACTGGGAATGACCAGTATTACTGATGTACATCTCATTGTTTCATATGTTATTAACATTTTGAATATATTTTTGATGCAATACATAGTGAGAATTTATGGCTTCTAGAAATAATGCAAAGGCCCAATAATAATGAATTCATTTATTTATATTATTATGTCTCGCGTGAATCAAACAATCGGTACCATATATTTGTACATTGAATTATATATCTAAATAGTCCCTAAATTCTATTTTGTTTATTGTCAAATATATTGAGCAATTATTCCTTATTGCAAGAATAAATTCAACAATTCAAACAACTAACTAGAGTGATCAAACATGTAAGTAAAGGATCAAAGCAAAACAAAAGAACATAACACCAAATTTTTACATGGAAAAAGCCTTACATTGTAGAAGGAAAAAGATCACGGGGCAATTTCGGCAAAATTCACTATAATAAAATGCCGTTTAAAATACTCTAGTTTATGCTCAAAACTTGAGTTCTCAACAAATTGAGAAATACAGCAATGATCAGTACCTAAGAAAATAAATAATCTCACCATCAAACCACTAGTTTGATGAAACCCGTGAGATAGTCACTTTGAATACTACATATCTTTAAAGTACCCAAAATATGCCACTAAGAGAAATTCTCAATTTGTATTGTGTAGAGAAAAGTACTTGTGTGAAATCCACACCTAACGATTGAAAGAAAAATCTTTTCTATTTCTCTCTCCCTCTTTCCCACACGCACGCAGCCACGATTTTCTTGCTTTCTCATGTAGCAGCCTTTATTTTTCTAACAGCCATGTTTTTCTCTATTTTTCCAATTAAACAGCCACCAACTTTGACCTAAAATACAATATAATAGTGATTTGGCCCACTAATTACTTATGGGCTGGAAAATTCATATAACAATCTCCCCCTCTAACCTACCAGGAAAATTCATATAACAATCTCCCCCTCCAACCTACCGAGAAAAGATAATATCCTCTAACAGATTAGTTAGAGTCCATATCAATCAGTTCGGCACAAAACTTAAACTTTTATCTAGTTACAACATTTGTCACATATTAGCTGAATTCTTCTACATATAAATTTTTTCTAACAATGTCAATTGTTCTGCCACTTCTTGTTGTAGCCAGTGATATCTCATATCAATGTGCTTCATCCAAGAATGATAAATAACATTATTGTTCAAGTCTAATGATCCCTGACTGTTGTAATTAACTATATACCCATTTTGCTTCAAACCAAAATCTTGAAGAAATCGTTTCAACCAAAGAATTTCTTTTGTTGCATCAATTGCTGCAATGTACTCAGCCACAATTGTAAATAAGATAACGCACTTCTGTAGTTTGGCTACCACGAGATAGCTTCATCTGCAAAAGTGAACAAGTATCATGAAAATGATTTTCTACCATCAAGATCACACAATCATATTTGCATCTGTGAAGCCCTCCACATCAGTATTGAACCTCTAAAGGTTAAGTACGTCTTTGAAATACTTCTTAAGTATCTAAACATCCATTTCACTGTCTCCTATTGCTCCTTATCCTTGACAAGAAACTTACTAACCACTCCAACTGTATGAATAATGTCTAGTCGTGTACAAACCATAGCATACGTCAAACTCCCAACCATAGAGGAGTAAGGAATCTCTGCCATTCTTTCTTTATCTTCCTTCTTAAAAGGACAAGTTACCTTACTCAATTTGAAGTGACTACCAAGTGGTATCTCAACTGGTTAAGAATTTTTCATGTTAAACCTTACCAGTACTTTTTCTACATACTTCTCACGTAATAAGCATAACGTTCTGGCTTTTTTTATCATGATGAATATACATCCCCAAAAATTGTCATGTTGGTCCAAGATCCTTCATGTCAAATGACTTGAACAAATCTATCTTCAAACTGCATATCAACTGAACATCTTACCCCAATATCAAATATCATCTACATATAGCAAAAGAACGATGAAGTTACTACCACAGAATTTTCTGACATAAACATAATGATTTACATCTATCTTAGAATAACCATGACCCACCATAAAAGAATCAAATTTCTTATACCATTAAATAGGAACCTGTTTTAACCCATAAAAACTCTTTTCCAACCTGTAAATCATATATTATTTTCCTCTTACTTCAAGTCTCTCTGACTAAACCATGTAGATTTCTTTCTCCAAAATACCATGGAGAAAGGCGACACGTCTAACTGCTCAAGCTCAAGATTAAAACTAGCTACTAAACTCAAAACCATTCGAATGAAATATATTTTGACAACAGAAAGAATGTCTTATCGAAGTTAATCCCTTTCTTCTAACCGAAGCCCTTTACCATCAATCGAGATTTATACTTCACTAACTTTTCACCATCTTTCTTTAGCTTGAACATCCATTTATTTTTTAATGTCTTTTAACCTTTAGGAAGCTCTACTAACTCATAAGTATTGTTCATTTGCAAAGAATTCATCTTTCTCTGCATAGCCTTTATCCAACTCTGTTTATCCTTACGAGATTCTATCTCCTAAAAGCATTCCAGCTCTCCCTCATCGGCTACCAACACATAATCCGATGCAGGATACCGAGTTGTGAATGATGCTCACTTGTAGTCTTCTAACCGGAGGTTCAGATATAGTAAGTTGTTCTCCTGGCTCGACATCTTCTAGATCATCCTTATCAATTTCTACTGGCTCATCAACACGACTGTCAACATGTGTCTCTATCCCATGAGTAGCACTGTCTGGAGGTAAAGATACGACTGTAAGGTCAATGACACTTTCGTTAACACGTCTTTGATTCCCATATTTCTCGAATCTACCAACATATGATATCCATAAAAATCACATCTCTACTTTTGACTATTTTCTTCTTCTCCGAATCCTATCGTCTATAGCCAAATTCTGCATCTTCTTAACCAACAAAAATGCAAGTACTAGCTTTATCATCAAATTTAAACTATTGTCCTTTAAGCACATGTGCAAATGCTTTGCATCAAAAAAATTTTAAGTGAGAATAAGAAACATAATTTCCTGTCCACGCATTTTCTAAAATTTCAAAATCCAAAGGAATTGATGGAGGCTAATTGATTAGGTAGCACGCCGTATGTACAGCTTCATCCCAGAGTGACTTAGGTAATCGAGTCATCCTTAACATGCTCTGACCTTTACCACAATGGTATGGTTCATTCCCCTCCATTTTCAGTTCGGAGACATGTCAAAACCTTTACATTTTTTCATTCCACGATGGCTTAAAATTTTTTGAAGTGTTAAAAAAAATGGTCTTTTGATCTCAAATAAAAAATCCACAATTTTCGTGAAGCATCATCGATAAAATAAGAAAATACTTATTAGCACATAAAGACTCCACCTCAATAGAACCATAAACATCATAATACACTAAATATAAAATATTAGACTTTCTACTAAAGGACTTTTGAAATGAAACTCTATGTTGTTTACCAAGTAATTAGTAATCAAAAGAATTTAATGATGTACATTTGGTAAAAGGAATGAGTGTCTTCCTTACCAAAATTTGCAATCCTCTTTTCAATCATGTAGCCAACCAATTGTGCAATAAGTCTGTGAAGAATCACTTTCAGTTGCATTCACTATTTTGCCACACACCTTTGTTTGTGTCTTGTAGAATGTACAACAAACC